ACCAGAGCTTCTCTCTCGGTGACGCTAGAGGCGCTTTGGTCGCCTGGTGCTCGCCCGATGAAAGGCGTGATTAGGATCATCGCTCCCTTGATCGCCCGATAATGCTGGGACAACGATCCCCTCCCCGTACATTTTCCAGGAGCTCACTTTTTCACCTATCCCCTTGCCGATTGTCTCGCCTGGCGACGCTTAGGCTCTCTCCTCGCCCCTTGCCCGCCCGATGATGCTCGCGAAACTACAACTTTTCAGTCGTGATTTCTGCATTGTCCAGCCCCATTTCAATTTCAATCACATTACCAAATTAGTCTGAAACGCATAATAATCATCATATATCACATATTAACATCAAATTTCATCATCACATTATATTCAACACAAATAACAACATACTGACATCATAAATCTACAATTTCATCATATATTTCACCAAATCATCACAAACAACAAAATCTACTTCTACTTTAACCTCATAACAATCGTAATAAATTAAGACTAAACCCCTTACCTCGAGTTACTATCGATCGAGCCCTTCCTTCGTGTTCTACATAACTTTCCTTTGAGCCCTAACTTCTTCTTCGTGTTTCTCCTAATTCTACGATCGTACATAATAATCGTTATTCTTCCATTTTCTCTTTTTATCCTTAGGATCCTTTCTAGGTTCGTCCCCTTATGCCCTCACTTATCACCATATATTATCACCATGCCCTTATCATCTCTACACACCAATTATTTTATTTAATTATTACTAAATAATTCTAAATAGAATAAACTAAATTATTTAAATCTAAATAATTCTAACTGGCACCTTAATCCATACTACCCCACAACACGTCATCATACATCATACAAATAATCATCAATAATCCACAAATCATCAATTAAATAATTAAATCTAGATTTTTAGGATGTTACAAATCTCCCACACTTAAAGAATTTTCGTCCTCGAAAATTACCCGAGGAAAACAGAGTCGGTACGACTCTTTCATCTGATCCTCACACTCCCAAGTCAAACTTCCACCAGTTGGTTCACCCCACAACACCTTCACCAAGAAAATCTCTTTACAACTGTCTGGTTATCTCTCACCTATACATCATCCATTTAGATCACATGTGAAGGATCCGAAATGTACCTCCTCAACTGAGATACATGAAACACATCATAGAGACTCGCAAGCGACGGCGGTAAAGTAATATGATAGGCCACCTCACTTATCCTCTCTAAAATCTAATACGGATCAACAAAATGCAGCGTAAGCTTTCACGACTTCAAACTCTACCAACACTAGTTACCGTAGTAACTCTGAAAAACACATGATATCCCTTTTGGAACTCAAGTAATTACCTCCTCTTATCATGATAACTCTTCTGATAAATTTGTGAAGCCATCATCCTATCTTGGATCATCTTTATCTTCTCAGTCGTCTTCTTCACAATCTAAGTTTCGAGCACAATACTCTCACCTGGCTCATACCAAAACAATAGAGTCCTACACCTCATACTATACAACACTTTATACGGTGCCATTCTAATACTAGTATGAAAACTATTGTTATACGTAAACTCAATCAATGTAAAATGGCTATCCCAAGCTCCTCCTTGTTCTAACACACAGGCCCTCAAAAAATCCTCCAAAGATTGGATAGTCCTCTCTGTCTGACCGTCCATCTGCGGATGATATGCAGAACTCAACATTAATTTGGTACCAAAAGAATTTTGCAAACCTTCATAGAAATTTGACGTAAACCTCTGATCTCTATCTGACCGTTGGCTGGGAATTTTGATTATATTAATATTAAGCTATAAAGACAAGATCAAAATATATTTAGTTCGAAAGAAGAATATTGAAGAGATTATCTTGAAGATTTTGATGGGGTGAGACTAATGAGAATCTTGCATCACTAAGTATTATCAAAGAAAATCATAAGTGAGTCCATTGGATTTAATTCGAAGTATTGTTGAAAGGATACTTCAATTGTCACGAAAAACAATTAGCACTTCTAAATACAAAAGGTTTTCAAAGTTTAATCTTATCTGAAAAGATACGTGGATGTATGAACCAAATCGAAAAAGATGTAATAGTAAACATGACATTGTTTCGTTATTTGACCATTAGGAACGAAGTAGTATAAATTAGGATCTTTATGTTAGGATTTAGTGTGTGAACATATTTTGTACAAATTACTCTGAATTACTCAAAGTATCAAGCGTTTGAGAAAAGAGTTTGAGAGAATGTACGTATGATGCACCAGTTTTATGTTTATTGTTATTTAATTTCAATCGAAGTTTTATATATCCCTTTTAAATTTAAGTCAAAAGTCTTTTACATACAAGTCTTTACTTTAAAGCATTACATTACAATATTCGAAATCACAATCTCAATCAAAGAGATCTAAAATAAGAAAGAAATGAAATCAAACTAAACACATGTCCTTAGGATCAATCTGGTCGATCCTGCAAGTAACCAAACTGTCTCTTTTTGATTTGGAGGACCGGCGGTTGTTTACCAAATTCCACGGTAAACAAAGTAGCACGTCCAGTGGGACGCGTGTCTAGTTCTTTGTTAGAATTTCTTTTCTATTCATTTGTCATTTTTTGATAACTTGTTTGTTAACACTGTTGCATGATTTTGAGAAATAGAAAATTAGTCAGTACTAACGAACCTATACAAAAAGGAAGTACAATAGGAAAATTGTTAATCCACCCAATAACAATGCAGAACAAGTTCCTCCTTCAACGGGGGAGGGGGGGCACGGTCGCTTCTAGTCCAACCGGAGCCATACCAACAAGTCAAGGAACAAAGAACATTCCTTCGACTAAGGATTCTACAGCCATACATACAAGCCAAGGGACAATGGCTATACCGTCAAATACACAAAGTATTTCGTCCATTACATCTGTAGCTGGTCAGGGGCAGCCTATAACCCCAAGACCCACAAGGGTTAACATGTCTAGAACATATGTGCCAAAAGTTTCAATTCCAACGACAGATCCAATCTATGGCATGCCAACATCATTTATGGCAGGATTTCATAATAATACATCCATATATACAAACCCTTTGACATCAACATATAACACGAGTCAAAATACCCAACCACCAGGATATGTTGTCCAATTGCCTTATCTTACAACTAATTTGTAGGCAACATGGAGACAAGAAATGGACGATAGTAACCACGAAATGGTTGGAGTTCTCGCCCAAGAAATGCATGAAATTTTCAACCCTTTAATTTAAAATTCTACTCAAACAAATTTGCAGAATGCATAGCGAATCAGCAAATGGAAGCACATATGGGATGAATAACAGATTTCTTTGGGGCTCCAAGGGAAACAATTCGACACCCTCAGCGTGAATGGATAAGGGAAAACTAGGGATTAGTTTTCCAAGAAGAGCCAACAATTAACCAAGCCTAACTAGTTATCTAGAATGTTGTTGAAAATAATCAAGGGGCTCGAATCGAGAAACCAAGATTTCAACAGGCAATCCCTAGGGAGGAACCTCGAAGAGTGGTGATGGTAAATCGAAACTCGGACACTGACAAAATTGTCCAAAGTCTTCGACATAATGATATGGTAGGAAATGATAACCTAACTGTTATGGTCGAAGGGATCATGGCGCGAAATGGGGGTAGATGTTGGCCTTTGAAGGCCAAATTATACTCCCCCTCTATCTGAATATATTTTGCAAACCAAATTGCCCAGGGTTTGGAAGGTCCCAAAGTTCACAAAATTCTCAGGTGATGCCAGCGAATCAATTGTTAAACATATAACCAAGTATCTTATTGAGACTGAAGATATAGCAAACAATGAAAATTTAAGAATAAAATACTTCTCTTGTTCATTAATGAAAAATGCTTTCACTTGGTTCACTACCCTTGTAGCAAACTCAATCCAAGATTGGATGCGTTTAGGAAGACTATTTCATGAACAATTTTATGTGGGTCAATTGAAGATAAGTGTCATACCCCAAATTTACCCGCCCTTTATATCTATAATCAAAAATATTTTCAACATTGGTATTTTATAATATTTTTTGGTTTAGTTTTACTAACATTTTAACAATAATTTATTTCTCTCATTTAAAAATGTATAATAGTTTATTTCAAATTATTTGTATTTTAAATAGCAAATACTTGTTCACTTTCATATACTTTCAATTGAGTTTTTTATTTCAAATGAGTAACATAGCACAATTGATAAGGAATGAAGTTTGCAAGTATGAGGTCGCGGATTTGAATCTCTTGCAAGTATGAGGTCACTTTTAACATTTTTTTCCTTCTATTTTTAGTTACTAATTTTCTTTCCTTTTTTAGAGATCAGGCTTTGGACTTCTCTTGGTTTTTTGGTAACTTACTTTCTAAGTTTTTTTTAACTTAATCCTAAGTCTATAAATAGGACTATTGTCCAACATAAATTTTTCATCCAGAAATCCATGATTTCATAATCTCATTTCTTTCTCTCACTTCTGGTTGATTCCAGGGTTTCTGAACAGAAACTCTGAGAAACATAGCTCGAAATCCAGACATCAACAATCTCTTACAATTTCTCTACACACTTTCACATAAAAAATTTCACAGTTTCACTTTTATAAAATATTTTTGCAATTTCCTATCAAAGTTTCTACTTAAGTTTTTTTGTTTTGGCCAATAATTTTATATGAGACTTCCCTATTATTTCCAATTTTTTCTTCCTTTTAATTTTAATTTATCTTTTCTTCCAACTATATGATGAATACTCTGATGATATTTTTCTTTCAAAAATTATATTTCATATAGAGGCATCGATTCACACATCACAATTTTCATACCTTCCATATGTCACCTACATATTTCGTTCACTGTATATTTTTCACATGATTAACACCATACAAAAATACTTTTTTCTCTTTTGAGTCAAACCTTCCTATTCCTATTGTACAGAGATGACCCTGAACATATTCTCTAACGGGACAAGTTCAAAACCATTTTTTTTCTTCTGATTTTTGAATCAGATCCAACATATCAAATAATTTTATCATGCTGACAACCAAAACTGAGTTCACCAAATGTTTCATGAATCCAATTCTTCGCACTGCATATAACGACCGTTACCAATAACACCTTTGTGTTATAACATTCATCCCATAGCATCACTTCATGTCTTACTATCATAAGCACAACCTGTAAAATAAAACAATCATCATTCCTATGCCAAATTCATAACACGTCACCATTGAAATCACTTGTTCATACTAACCACAAAATTTAAATGGTAAAAAGGAAAAAATTTGATGTAGGTTCATAGGAACAGATCCAATAGCAGAAATAAGGCAAAGGAACAAACAGAAGTAAATCTCAACTCAGAGTCGGAACCACAACAACCGACGCTGAAAAGGGGAAAGAACCACGACTCAATAATCCACTGACCGTGCCGGAACGATCACCTCCGACATCTTCAAGTCCGCCGATGAACAATCGCCGACGAACCATCACTGCCAACCGCGCCAGACTCGTGACGAGCTAGTCCAATCTTGCTCCACCCGACGCCAAAAACAACCATCGATTTCCCTTGTGATCTTCTTTCCGACCACCGCCCTCAGGTAGCGCCATCGTCGACCTCCAAGCTAGAAGATGAGGAAAGCTCTTTGTTGAATAAGATAGAAAGAGAAGAGTTTTCCAGATGTAAAGAAAAAGTTGTGTGTTTGCGTTGGAGAAAGAGGAAGGTATCTCTGCTTTTGATTTGTCTTCAATACAGATGCTATGTTTATTTATTTATTTATTTATTTGTTTGCAAGATTTGTTTATTAATTGTTTATTTCTCTTTAATTTGGAATAAATAAGTTAATTGTTTCAATTTGAGGAGAAAGTGGTTAATTGTGTATTTTGACTCAGTAGTAAATTTGGTTTTTTTTTGAAGTTTCATTTTTTTTTTTTCCGTTTAAATTTGTTAAACGTGAATGATGGGAGTGAAGACCCTATGTTTTCTATTCTTTTTGTTATTTATCACACTAACATTTTTTATTTTATTCTATTTTAGTTTTTATAAATTGTTTTATTTTATTTATAATTATTTGACATTATGCATTTTAAATGTTATAATCATTTTAGGTCTTAGCTATTTTAGTTAGGTTTATCACATTTGATCATTTAGAATAATTTATTTTAAGTTAGATAATTTTACTCATTAGGTTATTCAATAATTTTTAACCAACAAAAATACATATAATTTTTTTCAATTATTCAATTCAATATTTTACAAAGATATTAAAAACCACGCAATTCATCAATGGAAGACATGTGGTCAATATCTGACCACGTGATGATGAAGACTTTATCAGTTTTCCTCCGTATCCCTCATGAGGAGCGACACGTAATCAATATCTGGTCACGTTATGAGGAGAATTTATCAGACTCCCTACGCTTTGTGTCCTGCCACACTCTTTAAATTAAATCGAAATTCAAAATGTCCAACCAATCAAAGACCAATTTTCTACTAACGTAACAAAAACTACAAGATTATTTTCGAAAAAGGATTAAAAAGAATTACTTTCAAAATTAACTGCGAACGTCTATGATCACTCAGCTTATAACCCAAACAAGGTTCAAGGATAATTCGAAATCAATTATATGCAATCGTATAAAAAAACACCAAAAAACACTACGAACTATAAATTGGGACTCTGATTCCTCATAAGAGGATATGTAGGCATACAACTAAAATCGTGACGAGTTCCCCTAATAAAAATTAAAACCCTATTTCCTAAACTCTAAATCTAAACCCTAGTACCCTTGTGAACAAGGTAGATGAGGGGTGCCTAACACCTTCCCTTCATCTAAAAATGACTCAACAACTTAGAATCTCTGACCAAATTAGGGTTATCTTTTATATTCCTTTCCTAAAGATAAAAATTAACGGTGGTGACTCTTATTTTAAAACCAATTCTAACAATAAGTTTGAGCGAATTGGTAAATGTCAAACGTAAGTTCAACGAACCAGTGGATGATTATCTCAACATATTATGTTTATTAAAGGAAAGATGCTTTACACAAGTGCCTGAACATGAATTGGTCGAGATGGCTGCAAGAGGACTAGACTTCTTCATTAGAAAGAAGTTGGATTCTCATTACTTAAGAGACATGGCACAATTGGCTGATAGGGTTCGGCATGTGGAACGATTAAAGATTGAAAAGGCTAGAGCAAATAAGAGCCATCGAAAGGAAAGGGTTACCTATGTCGAATTAGGGGAGGATGAACAACAAACCTATGCTGAACTCACTGACTTCAAAGAAGTCGAGGTTGATTTGGCTGAGTTAAAACAATGACCACCATATGCTTGTAAAGTCCTAGCTCCTGCAAATGACAAGAATCACATCGAGCCTGAAAAGAATGATAAATTCCCTAAAAGAACTTATACCTTCGATATTACAAAATGTGACGAAATATTCAATTTATTAGTAAAAGATGGTCAAATGATAGTGCCACTTGGTGCTAAAATTTCTCCATTAGATCAACGGAAGAAAAGAGGTTTTTGTAAATATCACAATTTCTTAGGCCATAAAACCTCACAATGTTTCCTTTTCAGGGATCTGATTCAAAATGCCATCAAGGAAGGGAGATTGAAGTTTGGTGACAAAACCAAGCCACAAATGAAGGTCGATGTTGATCCTTTAAATGTAGCGGAGACCAACTATGTCGAACCAGTTTTTATCAACATGGTGGAGATAGGTGACAAAGTTTATCCAGATACTAAAATAACAGAGGCTGCTGAGGGCCTCCTCAAGGAGAAACCTGTTAACCAGACTGCTGAAGGTCTAATGAACCAGAAGTTCGAAGGAAGTATCACTGAAGGTGTTGCCCCAAATGGAAAAATGTTGAAAACCACTAAAGATCTCAGAGTCAAGTTTGAAAAGATTAGGATTACTGATGGTCCTAATCTCGAAGTCAACATGGTGGATTTAAACCAGCCTACTCCTGAAATGGAAGAGGTCGAAAGGTGACTCCAGAGAGAAGATGCTCTGTTGAACAATACCTATATGAAAGTCGGAGAAAGTCTGCTGGATTATTTGGCTCGCTACCATAAAAAGAACTTCGAAATATTTATGTGCCCAAGATGTAGTATCATTTATGATCAAAAAGAAGTAGAGGTTTATCAACAAACCCAACAGGCTCGAACTGGTGGCAGTTGGAGGAAAGATGATTTGATGGAAATGGTCTACCCAAAAGCTGACGAAAGTTTGCTAGGTTTTATTGTCCATTTCCATAAAATGCAATCATAATGCTTAATATTCCCTAAGTTCAGTGCTATCTACAATCAAAAGGCTTCATAGGAGTATGAACGAATCCATTATGCCAAAACTATGGGTAATTGGAGGAGTCAACGTAGAAATTTAACTTTCGACAAGAGGGGAATTCCAAGAAGGGCTAACAACCCACATCCTAAAGCAAATCAAAGGATTACTTTCAAACTCCCAGCAGATATCCCTACTGATAAGTGGACTAAGCCAAATGAAAATAGAAGATAAGAACAAGGAAAATGGAAGAGTTTCGAATGGGGAAGATGATCATCAATTGCTTACAGAAAGGAGTTCTAGGTATCGAGACAACAAACATTTAGATCTGATAATTATAAGGGAAATAACCATATAACCAGGACCCAATGGCGAAGACACCAAAGGATAAAGAAGGATCACAAGGAGTTAGCATAGAAGGAGATATGGGAGTCAAGCAGCAATCAATATCTCCCAATAAACATTGCAGAAAAGAAATAACCTGTTGAAAGAACTTTTTCCCCAAAGAAGGAGATAGCCGGGGAAAAAGACCAAAAATGTCCAACCAATGATGACGATGTGATGGCAGATGATTTCAAATCAGATGGGGAGTCTTCACTTAATATCAATTGCAACATGGTGTATGTACTTCCATATGAATATGATCAAATGCAGGATTCTGGAGAAGTGGATGAGGCTGAAATGGCTAGGCACAAACCTGTGTGTTATTATATCTTGAACAATGGCGATGTGGAGGAGCATAACACTTTTTTCGAGCGTCTTAATTAGTCAATAAAGAAACACCTGAAGCCTTTGTTTATAAGAGGAAAGGTGGAAGGAGTTGGGATCAACAAGATTTTGGTTGATGGTGGGGCAAGAGTAAATTTGATACCTCAATTCATGTTAAAAAGAATTGGTATGTTCGACACAGATATTAAACCACACAATATGGTGGTGTCTAACTATGAAGGAAAGATAGGCCACACATTAGGTGTGGTGTAACTAGATCTCACCGTGGGTTCGATCACCAGACCTATTGTGTTCATGGTGATTGAGGAGAAGACAAATTACAACATGTTATTGGGTCGAGAGGGGATCCATGGCATAGAGAAATCCTCTCTTTGATGCACCAAAGAGTAGCAATCTGGAGGGAAGATGGGATAGTTAAGAATGTTGAAGCAGATCAGAGTTACTATATGGCAGAAATAACCATGCGGATAAAAGAAACTTTGATAGAAACTTGGCCAACATAGGGCCATGTAACCCAGCTGCTGAAGCCTATTCACCCCATAGAGATACCCTATATTTCTTGACTTTACACCCAACTCATGGGTTCCAATGGGAGATAGAAATAATGGGGGAAGAAAACGAAGTGGAAGACGTTCCAGGATTACGGCCAACTGGCTGGACTGACGAAGACATTGACCATGTCTGAGTCTGATTTTCAGAAAGATTTCGGCTTATCTAGCCGAAAATAAATTAAAATCCGCTTTAGAAGCCGAAGTAAAATACATGGCTATTGAAGCCAAAGATGAAGCTATCCATGCGAAGGGACCTGGGGTTCACTTTAAGCCAAAACCCCCAGACGAAGAAGCGCTTTTCAAAGGGAAAGACCAGAGGCTAGATGTGATCTATGATGAAGAGCCTTTACGATTCGATAAAGATCCTGCAATTCCAAATGCTAAGATGAGGGCGCAAGATCCACTCGAAGAAATTGATCTAGGTGATGGGTTCATCAAAAGACCTACATACATTAGTGATAAGCTAAGCCCAGGGGTAAAAGCAAAAGTAATCCAATTACTGAAAGAATACAAGGATTGTTTCACTTGGGACTACAACGAAGTGCCTGGTTTAAGAAGAGACCTGGTTGAACTAAAGCTTCCAATCAAGGATGGCAAGAAACCCATCAAGCAGGATCCTAGAAGGTTCGCGCCAGAAGTTCTCTCGAAGATTAAGGAAGAGATTGAAATACTCCTCCATTGCAAGTTTATCCAGGCCACAATGTATGTCGAATGGATTGCAAATATAGTGCATGTTATTAAGAAAAATGGGTCTTTGGGGTTTATATAGACTTTCAAAATTTAAATGCAGCAACCCCCAAAGACGAATATCCAATGCATATGGCAGAAATGCTCATTGATTCAGCCACATGTTTTGAGTATCTTAGTATGCTTGACAGATATTCTGGATATAATCAAATTTTCATTGTTGAAGAAGATGTA